TTCACTTGACTGTCGGTCCAAGCCCCTGACAAGAACGGCCGTGTGTGTGTGTGTATGCGCGCGCGCGCGTCGTTCTGTTTCAAGGCGCGGCCTTTTCGATGGTACCTTTGTGAGCGTCGCGCTTTCGCGTTTCACCCTACCACGAAGAAAATGCTCTGCCTTTCCCATTCTCACTGTGATTGTTCTACTTAACAAGATCACAGGGGAAACATTTTATAGTTCGAAAATTACCCTTCTTTCTATAGGTCCTATCACCTGTTTAGGCCTCCTGTACGCCTCTCCTAGAGGGGCTACCACCTGTCAATCTCCTATTTTCAACTCGTTCGGCCTTCTGTTCTGCTCTTCATTTCGTGCAACCTGCCTGCGCTTTCCTGACCTGCGTTTCCTGAGTCAGCCCGTGCTCTGCTTTTCCTCCCAAGGGATTGACAAGGTGGCAGTCTTGGGTGCCACCGGTGTTCTCGTATCTTGTTCTTTCGAAACGCGTCGGGAAATGTGCGCGTTAGCTGAGATGAGTACGCGCGGCTATGTATTGAAGAGCTATCGAAGCGTGTACGACAGGCAGTCGGCCCCTGTTTCCACTATTCTTCTTCTTCTTCTTCTTCTCTTTCAGTTTTCCGCAAGCGAGAGAAATTGGGCAATTAAGTAATTTTGACGAAGTAAAACGAATTCCTTTTCGGTATCGATTCAGTGCGGCGTGTGAAATTTGGGTAACTAAGTTAATGATCTTCTGGCTGCGCTGGATTCGGCACCGGTTATCTTTCCAAAAATAGTTAATAAAGGCGGGAAACTGGTGCTCCGCGCGTCACCATGGCCTTTCTATTTCCAAGGAGAACGGTGCTCGCCTGTTTGGAAAGAAAAGCAGGTGAAAGTAATGAAATGGAAGTTAAATTTGCTGGATTCGGTACCCGCTATCTTTTCAAAAACAGTTTTTAAAAAAAATGAAGGTTGAAATGACGAGAACGACGAAAACGTCACACAACGCGGACAGAGACACAACCTGAGCTGGGAAATACAGTTTTTGTTTTTTTTTTCTTGGGAAAAAATACAGTAATTTCAAACTACACGACTAGGGTTCGACGATCCTGAAAGGTTATGGTCATATACATAACCTTTCATCGGAAAAGAAGAGGATGAGAAAAATCGGGAAAGACGCGATGGAACGGAGATCCAGGTAAAACACACTCTCTCTCTCTCACTCTCGCTATGAGAGGATGTAGTCATGGTAACTCGTCATCGGATGAAGCTTCATTATTTTTTTTTGCATTATTTTATTTTCATCTTATTAGAGAAGTACAAGAGACCTCAGTAAAGAGGAATTTAACATTTGATTAAAGAGGAAGACGAGCGATCTCGGGAAAAAAAAAAGGCTGTATGGCGATGAGACACGATTTCGAAAAGTGCCCTAAATATATCGCTGAACAATACCAACGAAGTCTGTCAGTCAGCGTGCTGATCATACATAAATACAGTAATTGAAGAAGTCTAGAGTTATACTGAATAAAGTCCCCGCTTTTGGCTGTTAGTCTTGCAGTAGGATTGGGTGGTAGGCGGGGTTGGGTGGGTCGATGAGTGATTGGCATGAAATGTGGGCCTTGTGCTGCTATTGGAATGCGGCATACGGAGGAGGGAAGTAAGGTTGATTATTTCCCCTCTGTCTTTGTGACAGGAGAAGAGGAAGCCTTGGATGAAGAGCCACAGAATACTGAACGCGAAAGGTCCGTTCGTATGATCTTCAAATAGCGCGAAGCGGCAGAGGCTTCTGCGTTTGTAACGGGCGGTGAAAACTTCGGCTAAAACAAAAATGGAGTTACCGACGTAAAGAAGGCGGAGATGGCGGAGCGAGAAAGTAGGAATAGTTGCGACCAATCGCAGACCAACACGAAGCGAAGAACGAAGTTGATGATGAGTAGCAATAAAGCGCGCACAAGTTTGTGTGATTGTGTGTGTGTGTGTGTGTGTGTGTGTGAGAGAGAGAGAGAGAGAGAGAGAGAGAGAGAGAGAGAGAGAGAGAGAGAGAGAGAGAGAGAGANGAGAGAGAGAGAGAGAGAGAGAGAGAGAGAGAGAGAGAGAGAGAGAGAGAGAGAGAGAGAGAGAGAGAAGGGAAAATGCGATGGAAAGAGCGGAGGGAGGAAACAACGGAGGGTACGAGGAGATGAAAGAGAGACTAAGAAGAAGAAGAATATAAGAAGGGAGACTGCGAAGGAAAGAGTGGAGGAAGGAAGGCAACGGAGGGTACGACGAGATGGGAGCAACAAGTGCAGAAAGGAGAGGGAAATCGAATGAAACCACTAAGAATGCGTTTCATTGCAACGCACGAAATACGAAGACTAGTGGAATCGAGGGCATTAAGAGGTGGCAAGCAATAAATGCGGATAATTGTCAGAAGACAATATAGGAAGATAGATCCGACATTTGAAAGGAGGCAAGAACTACCGTCTTCACCTGAATACAACGTACGGTCATTAAAGCTGTACTGTATTTGGGGTATCTTTCAGCCTAAATATATACAGATAATGACCGTACGTGCTATTCGGGTGAGGAAGAGGGGGAGAATTGAAGGGGGGCAGGAGGGGGAAGAGAGGGAGGTTGGGGATCCCAAAGTAGGTAGTGGGAGAAGGAAGGAAAGGAGGAACGGAAAAGACATAGCTGGGTGTGAAAAGGGGGTAGAAGGACAGCGGAGTTCTCGAGGAGAGAATGGTTAGTGAAAACGAGGACCCGTCTTCAACTGGGCTGGCTCAGTTGGTACACCCTTGAACTGAACTATTGAAATACAGACCCGAGTTCGAACTCCGCTGGAAGCAGATGAGTGAAATACTAGAATTCCACTGGAAGCAGATGAGTGAAATACTAGAATTCCGCTGGAAGCAGACGAGTGAAATACTAGAATTCTGAATTACGTAGGGACGGTCAGTTCGATGATAATATCTCAAGATTGTCGGCGTTCTTTTCTTTTTTTAGAGGGGCAACGAAGTCGTCAAGGAGAGAAAGAGTAGTGAAAGCGAGGAGGTTGCGCAATTTGTGCTGGAAACATGATGGAGAAGAAATAGGTGAAAAAAGCTTAGCTTCAACGAGGGAAAAGGAAAGTTCAGCATAGCTCTTGAAAGCGAGGAGGTTGCGTAATTTGTGCTGGAAACATGATGGAGAAGAAATAGATGAAAAAAGCTTAGCTTCAACGGGGGAAAAGGAAAGTTCAGCATAGCTCAGAGAAGGAGGGTGGGGGGAGAATGTGGGGGCGGGGATGTGAGGGAAGATGTATATGTATATATATGGGCGGATGAACTTGGACCTAATTGCAGTATGTGGGTGGATCAACCCGGACATGATGACAGGTGTCTGGCGAGTGACAGTTAGTGATAGGGATGGCTGGTTCGTGTGTGGAATGACGAGTTTGATTGAGAACAAAATTTGGAATCGGGATCGGCTATGAGATAAACGTACGTTCGGAATTAAATTTCCATTTACACATGTTTAGGACGAGAATGTGAACCGTATTATTATAATCACGTTTCTTTCCCCATTTCTTTCCCTCCCTCACTCCCCTTCCCTCCCCCCACCCCTCCACCCACCCAACACACACATGCCCTATCTAGTCTGGAGGGTAACAGTCCTGTTGCTTAGCGCACCGGCAAGCATTGGACCAGTTTGTGAGATTAATGAAAAAGAGAGGATAGAACGGATCAAAGAAACGAGTGAGGTTGATCGTAATTTATAAAGGATAGAAAAAGTGCAATGATGTATCAAACAGATCACTTTTTTTTTTTTTTTGCAGGATTTCCAGAAGATTGGGTGTTGGGAATGTCATGAAGTGAATATGACGACGTTTTTTTGTGTGAAATAATGAAGTTACAATATTGTGGAATTTTCCTGAAATCACATGGCCACTGAAATTACAATATTGTCAGAATTGTTTTTTGAAATGACGATATATTTGTAACTTTTCTGAAATTACAATGCAAATGAAATCTGTGCTGATCTAGGCTACTGGAGTGACCCAGGCACCCCCCAAAAAAATAATCAAGAAATCATTTTTAATTTGCTAAAGCATTTCGATGTGGTGCTGACTAATAAGGTGTTAGTTTTCTGCATAGCCTTTTTTTTCCGGATTTTTGGATTTTTTTTTCTTTTTCTTTCGCAGGGACCTTCCCTGGCCCTTGCCTTTTTTTCCGGATTTTTGGATTTTTTTTTTTTTTTTGTCTTTCGCAGGGACGTTCCCTGGCCCTTGCCTGTCCAGGCCGCCCGGTCAACCAAGGTGATCCGAGCGGCCTGGTTGGTAGCCCATGTGCTGATTGTGCTTCAGAAGCGTATTTATTTACTATTATTGTAGCTTAGTCTTGACTCTCAGTTGATGGGTTAGTGGAGACCTTGGTAAGCACTTACCTCCCCCCTCCCTCCCCTCACATTGCGTTCGCGTTTTCAATCGCTCCTTTTCTCTTCTTGCTCTGTTCGAACGTGTCTGCTTAGTTTGCTCTCCTTGGCTTCTGAGGGCATACTGCACTACGACTTTTTTCACTCAGCTCTGGCCACGATTGTGGTCTGATACATCCGTTGGTGATTGTATTTGCGGCCAGATGCATGATGCATCCAGGAACGTCGTAGTTTGAGTATGCTCTGAAGCTTGGCTTTTCTCTAGTTCTTTGACATTTTTTGTCCCCGTACATTTTGTCTCCGTACGTATTTGTGTCCGTACATTTTTTTTGTCTCCGTACATTTTTTGTGTCCGTACATTTTTTTGTCGCCGTACAATTTCTCCAGGCCGTGCTTGACTCTGTGTATGGACTTTATTTTGGCTGTGTCATGTCAGGTACGAGAGATTGCGAAGAAGACGGGGATGGACTTCTCCACTCAGTTGCTGGATCTGGAGGCTAAATATGAGCAGGTGCGCTCCTCATCCTCCGATGTTACATTATGCTTCCTGTTTTTTTTTCTTCGTTTTATCTTTCTTTCCTTTTCTTTCCCTCTTTTAATGTTTTACTTTTTCACCTCTGTGATGTTGTTTGCAGTTTTTGATGTGTGGCATGTAGTGAGATCTAAACGTGGATCCATCAGGACTAAATGCACTGCAGGACACCAATTTTTTGAGTCTTGCTTTATGTGAGGTAAGTTATTATCTCACACTTGCTCTTTTTTTTTGTGCACCCTCTCAGTATCTGTGTGAAATGTTGGTGGTTGTATGTTACAGCTTCGCAGGGAGATTTATCTGCGTCTGACACCTGTTCAGCGCCTCAGTGTTGCACGCCATCCCAATCGGCCTACGTTCCTCGATCATGTGCTCAACATCACAGACAAGGTGCGTATGTGTGTGTCTTAGACACCATTCCGAAGCATAAGTTCCTTTATTATTAAGTGCTCAACATCACAGATTGTATGGGATGTGTGTGCTTGTGCGTGTGTGTGCAAGTGTGTGTGTACGAGCATGTGTGTGTGTGTGTGTGTGTGTTGTGTAAGAGTGTGTGTGTGCGTGAGTATGTGTGTGCGCGTGCGCGTGTTAATGTGTGCGTGTGCGTGTGTGCATGTGTGTGTGTGTGCGTGTGTGTGTGTGTGTGTGTGTGTGTGTGTGAATATTGGATGTGTGTGAGAGAGAGAGTCCAGTATACAATTCCTGTTGCTGAATGCGTGCCAAGCTTTCCACGGGCTGTTGTTATGTTGAGGTGAGATAGAGAGTGGGGATGGCCACCATGCACCCACCTTTTGAGGGGGTTCGGGTTGCATTGGCAGTAGCAAACCGGGACTGTCCGCAATCAACCTGTTCATGATGGTAGTTGTTGTGCTTATAGACGCTTCTACTGAAGGGTAACGGGAGAGAGAGAGAGAGAGAGAGAGAGAGAGAGAGAGAGAGAGAGAGAGAGAGAGAGAGAGAGAGCACTTAGTTCTTTCAAATAAAATTCCTGTTATTGTGTGTCTAACTTTCCAAGAGACTCTTGTTATCCCGAGGTGAGATGGGGAGTGGTGAGGGGCCGCCATGGACCCACCCTTTCTAGGTGGTTCGGGTTTCATTGGCAGCAGCAAACCGTGACTTCCAGCAGTCAACCTGTGCATGGTGGTAGTTGTTGTGTCATAGTCCTTTCTATGGAAAGGGTAATGGAGGAGTTATTACCGCACGGGTTGTCCCTGTGGATCTGCACCCTTGTAGCGGTGCGTCACCCCAAGCTCTTTGTGACTCCCTCAGCATTGTGTGGGGACCCTTTTGGGCAGTAACCTCGTAGCAGTAGCTACCGTCCGTCTGCACTGCACAGTCATTCTCACTGTATGTAGACTGCAAGTCGCACCAAATACAGCTATAATGACTGCGTGTTCTATTTGGAGGAAGACGGCAGTGGCTACCACTTCAACTCATCGTGGTAGCAGCACATGGACAACGCTGATGCGATATGCTTTGACACACTTGCCTGCCTATCCTCTGCTGCTTGCTGTTATTGCCCACATGCAGATCAATTCGTGCAGGTGGCTGTGACTCTTTTCTCTTGATGGCTTACACAGAGTCATGCGTGCGTGTGTGTTGGCTTGGCGGACTGTGCAGTGGGTTGAATTGCATGGTGACAGGGGTGGATTTGATGACCCAGCACTTGTCTGCGGGATTGGGAAGATGGAAAACATGAGCTTCATGTTCATGGGACACCAGAAAGGAAGGAATACAAAGGAGAACATTCACCGCAACTTTGGGATGCCGACTCCCAATGGGTGAGTTTTATGTGCTTGGAGCAGTTCTGAAACTGCGAATCCATGTGGTTGTCAGTGGTGTTTGTGTTTTTTGTGGAATTGGTAATTGTTTTTCCCCACAAAGTATCTCTAATGTCTGTATGAGCATGTTGCAACATTGGCAATCACTTGATTAGCTCTGCCCTCCTTCCTGCCAAAGCCCGGCCCCACCGTCCTGGGGCCTCTTCATCCCCCTGCCCACTAACCCCCCGAACATGTTTTTTGCTTCCAATCGGTGTCACTCTGGTCAGCTCCCGTTGTATCGATCACTTGAGTATCATATACCAATATAGAAATTCTTAGCTGACGTTGTTGTTTATATGTGTGTACACAGGTACCGGAAGGCGCTGCGTCTGATGAGACATGCTGCCCACCATGGTTTCCCCATCCTGACATTCATTGACACACCTGGGGCTTATGCAGGGGTCTCTGCAGAGGAATTGGGCCAGGTGGGTTTCTCTCCGTCTTTTGTCTTTCGCACAGCTGAAATGAAATGTGCGGGGTTGTCTCTCCTATTTGTCTTCCGTGGATTGACAAGTGTGTGTGTGTGTGTGTGTGTGTGTGTGTGTGTGTGTGTGTGTGTGTGTGTGTGTGTGTGTGTGTGTGTGTGTGTGTGTGCGTGTTGTGTGTGTGTGTGTGTGTGTGTGCGGCGTGCGTGTGTGTGTTGTGTGTACTTCGTGCGTCATGAAATCTTAAACCTGGTCAAGGTTATTATGAGGAAGTTTGAAACATGTCACTGATGTCAGTTATTTGTCAAGTTTTGGAGATGGCATTTGGCCATCTTCATGAAGATGCGCTTTGGTTATGTGGCTGGGTGGCAGGGGAATTTTGATAGTGTCCTTGTTTTGACATGTGTTGTGTAATATCTTACGGGAATGGCAGAGAACGGCTTAGAAGATTTCTTGATGTGTATGGATGATGACTCTGAAAAGCTGTGGACAGATTTTGCTGAATTGCTAATGCTCGCTTTCGCTTCGCGTGGAACATAATGTTGGCTCGCAGTGGTTTCCCTTCAGCTGGGAAGAGCTCTGTGCCTGCAGCTTTCACACAGAACGGAATCTTGGAAGTGGAACTGAACTCAAATTTCGGCCTTACAAAAGTGACAAAAGGAAAACAAAATGAGGATGCATAAGGATTTGAGTCCTTATGATGAACTAGTGTCGTTGCCTTTGCTTCCGGATGTTGCTGTCGCTGAATGTTTGGTGTTTGGTTCTTAGGGCGAGGCGATTGCGCATAACCTGCGCGAGATGTTTGGGCTGAAAGTGCCAGTCATCACAACTGTGATCGGTGAGGGAGGATCAGGCGGTGCACTTGCAATTGGCTGTTGCAACAAAATGCTCATGCTTGAGAATGCTGTTTACTATGTAGCAAGGTAAGGGAAGCTGATGTGTGATGGATGGATGGGTTGTTGGCTGAATGGATGGAGGATATGGGCTGTCTCTTATACACATCTAGATGTGTATAAGAGACAGGAGGATCAGGCGGTGCACTTGCAATTGGCTGTTGCAACAAAATGCTCATGCTTGAGAATGCTGTTTACTATGTAGCAAGGTAAGGGAAGCTGATGTGTGATGGATGGATGGGTTGTTGGCTGAATGGATGGAGGATATGTGTGTGCAAATTAAGTGCAAGAGGGAGGGCTTGCTGGCAATCATGTATAGATTCACACATACTTGCAATAGGTGGAAGCCGTACCGATGTAAAAATTGTGGTTTTGTGATTGGCTTTCACTATTCAGCCTTCACGCATGACGGAGAGGGCAAGTATGTGCATTTTGCAGATATATGTATGTGTGCTCTTCCTGTCCTAGAAGAAGAAAAGCTCGCACTGGCAATGTCCGAGCGTTCACCATTAGTTATGGGCATTCACAAACTTCTGCTCCCAGACACAGACACTTTAATTACATGTCTTCCATCATGAGTGTAAGAGCGAATTAGCTGGACAGATGTGCGGGGTCGTGTTTGCTCTTGCAGACAGACACTTCAAATTCTTTAGTTACATCTTTTCCATTACATCTCGGGTGAAGCTTGTATACTATACGCTTGTATTAGTGATTTCTGCGCTGGGGTTAGATATGACAGCAAAATACACGCACATATCCTTTTTTCATTGGAGTTGCTACATGTAGATCATCAATATAGCAGAGCAATGCGTTTGCAATTGATGACATTATCCCTTAGGATGGACGGGTCCTCGTCTCACTGGCGCACATTGAATTCCTTCATCAGCCGCATCATCATGATCCCACACGCTACCCCAGCCTTTGCGAGTGATTGACAGTCTTATGCAAGATATTGACAATCTCGCCGAAAATTTCAACAAATTGAGCAAAGAGTGTACTGACAATGTTAACAGTGTTCCATCACCACCACCAAAAAACAAATAAATAAATAGAAAGCGAGACTACCAGCATACACTTCCCAGAATGCCTCTGTGACTTTTTACCCCTTGAAGCCTCCGTTATTTCCCTCCAGGTTGGTGGGGTGGATGTGATTGATTCTTTTGTTAATGTGGGGTTCTGAAAACAAACTGCGAAGGCGGGGTCTTGATGTTTGCTTACTAAGCGTGTTGGATGTCTGGGCCGACTTCCCTAACAGCCATCCTGCCTGCTGGGATTGTCCTTCCCAGTGCAGGTTTATGTCTGAAACAAGTAGGACTTGACTCGAAAACAGGTACTGGGGGCTGTGGTGCTGGATTGCTTGATGCTGCTAATTCTGACACACAGATGAATGAATGGACCTGATGATGTGCAGCCCTGAGGCATGCGCGGCTATTCTCTGGAAGGATGCGACTGCAGCACCAAAGGTGAGGTTCTCACTAATCTATAGTATCCCTTTCCTTTGCCTTGTTGAATTCTAGTTGCGTAGGGAATGCGCTTCCCCCCTGTCGACACCCCCCGCCCCCTCCACGCCCTTGAAGCTGCTCATCCAGAGACTGTTATTGCTCAAATCTTTTGGATATGAATGTATCATTTGGCTTCATTTCGCATATGGCGGGTTGGTCACTAGAATGGGAGTGTAAGAGGGTATATCGGGGAAGGACAGGAGACTACACTCACACTCGGACACCCATTGTGGAGTGATTTACTTTGGTTTGATTTTGTGCAGGCGACTGAAGCACTGAGAATCACTGGAAAGGAACTTCAGCAATTGAATGTTGTGGATGAAGTGATACCTGTAAGTTCTCTTCTGTCTCTTCGCTTCCGGGCATTCCTGTTCCCCCATCAGTAAAGGCCCTTCTGTCGGTGCATTTTATGGGCTTGCAGTTGGCAGGTGTTGCCAATTAGGCAGTGCACCACCTCAAAGAATGAGTATTTTTTTTCCACTGAAGTACTATGGTTTGGCTGTCTGTGAAATCACAGTGCAGGTTTTCATGCTGTGGGTTTGCCTGTGCTGCTGTGCTTCATAGTAAGGCTCAAATAAATGAGCCATTTGAGGGTTGAGGGTGGTGTGTGTGTGTGTGTGTGTGTGTGTGTGTGTGTGTGTGTGTGTGTGTGAGAGAGAGAGAGAGAGAGAGAGAGAGAGAGAGAGA